GAGTCAGTAATAGAATGTGTAAATCAAAAATTAAAACATTTGACCTAAGGACTATTATCCGTTCTTCTATTTATCTATTTAATTTATCTAATCTGTTAATATACATTTGGGTTGTTTTCCGATATGCATAAGATAAAAACCACATAATATGTTTTAATTTGTTTAGGTAAATACAGTGTTCTACATGAAATAACAAAGAAATTTTAGGAAAAATTATCATTTCATTTTCATAAAATATATCCAGTGCTACACGAATAGCAGCATTAAGATAAACAGATTTACGCCTAAGTAGTATTACACCTCTATAATTCTTTAATCTAAAGAGTGTAATATACACTGTAATAACATACATACTACTAGATTTATTAAACTGCATAATTCTTAATTTATGTTCATAGGAAAAAGCAATAAATTGTTAAAATTTGTCCAAAATCTTAACCTTAAATTTGTCATACTTCCAAAAATAGTTCAAAATAGTATACAAATCTAAGGAGTTTTATATCTGTAAATGCAATGAATCATTATTTAAATGGATAAGTGAAAAATGATAATAATATTCGACCTAAAGAGTATTTTCTTTTTTTTCTAATTACCTATTCTATTCATCAAATCCAATAATGTCTATTTAGATTGTTTTTGAATAAATATTTGATAAAAAAAACCGTATTACTTATCAGGGGGACCGGAAAGTAATATCGTTTCAGAGCATTAAATAATCGTTAGTCTTAAAAACCAATTCATTTTTTCGATCCATTTCTATTCATTTTTGATCCGGCATTGAAAGGTTGTTGCTAACGAGGGTAAATACATTATTGATTAAAAGTAAAATCTTGATAACAAATATCAAATCCATCGAAACGACATTTTTTCTGTTCCCCCTAATATTTTACTTTACTTAAGTAAATACGGTTTTCTACATGCAATAACTGACAGATTTTAAGAAAAATTATCATTTCATTTTCAAAAAATATATCCAGTACTACACTAATAGCATCACATAGATAAACAAACTAACCCTTAAATAAAAGTAGATTAAAACATTCCCAAAGTTCAACATGAATAAAAAGAGAAACGCTTCTAAATAATAAATTTACTTATCTGTTTTTAATTTTATAATATATCAATTCCCAATTACAGAAAAACAACAGTGGGACATCATCTTATTTTTACTTGATGAATTATAAAATAATTCTAAAAACATAAAATTAAAATTTTTCGTAAGACGTCAAATGAATCATGTCTTAATAGCGTCGAATGAAAAAGCAAACTGAAACAGTGCTTGGAACATTTTAGAAAAGAAAATATGAAAAATGTATAAACGCATTATTTACTTTGCTCGTCTCAATCAAGGAGAATTTTTTTTTAATCCACTTAAGATTTCATTAAATATTCGTTTGACTTTAAGTACACTCAAAGGAGTAAACAGCTCTTTGATGATAAAAATCTTTTTTTAAAGACAATGAAATGCTAAGAAATTTGTTTAATCCAACGCTTTGAATATCCCTGGGGATAATGGGGAGATTCAATAAACTGATTGATCGAGGGGTGGTAAAAGATGAGTCCAAAGAAGAAAAAAATATTTGGCTTCTGCTTCAGCTTTTCTTTCTAAGTTTTTCACTGTAAATATTAATCAATTAGACACTTATTTTTGAATAGAAATTGTTAGAAATGCCAATTTCTTCAACAAAAAAATTTTGATTCAAAAATTTAGTTTGCGAAAAATGGAAAGTTATTCAGTTTCTGGCCAAATTGCACTGTAATTTTTTAATAATTACATGTTTTGCACGATGTAATACTCTTATATTTAAGTATACATGTAATGGGGTTTCATTCAGAAGATTTTTTATATGTACTTTCCATTTGTATTTATTTTTAACACATTGCATTATAAAATGTTAAACAATTGATACAGGAACGTAAGCAAGAGCAAGCCGGTTTCAGTCCCTCTTCTCGTGTGCACTGTGTTTATTTATTTTGCAGTTTTGTACTGCGCAGTTATTTCTTTATTTTATGTGCAGTGTATAAATAATCGATTGGAACATCTTCGTCATGTGTAAAAAAAGGCGATATTTCACCATGTAAAAAAGCTAAAGCCTCGTGAATGCTCAAATATTTTCAAACCAAGAAATACCACGAAGATTGAAGATTTCTGAAGCTAGCGTACGACGCATGAAAAATGAAACTGAATTAAGAGACAAATTGAGCCCGAAACTAAAGAAAAGATGCTACAGAATTTTATAGTGAGTTGAATAATTTGGACAGAGACTGTAAAAAGTTCAGTTTGTTGCGAAAATTCTTCTTGCTTTCCTTTTTCTTCATTGGATTAAAAAAATCTTCTCTAAGCACCACAGTTTTTGGCAAATTTTTCCAGTCTTAAATCTTACGAGTGCTAGGTTTTTTTTTTCAAAGCAAGCAATCCATCTCAGCAGGGGGCCTACTCCTAAGTTTATTTTGTTTTATATTTTATAACAGGTGTATAACAGCCGTCCCAATTTATGAGTTTTCGACTGTCACTGTTCAACTCAGCGGCCTTATACTTTTGAGCCAAACCGAAAACAAGGTAACTCCTATATCAATCACTGGAAGAACCTAGCTGTTGTGGAAGACTTTTTAATGGAACTAAGTCACAATCGCGTTACATGAAGAGGAAAATCACAAAACCACCCACTGTTAGTACGATTGCAAGTGTATTCTAACCCATGATCCGTCTACCACTGAGGATATTTTATGTCAGCATTATGGAGGCAAACGCTTTATCCCCTGAGCCACCGCGACTCTGCTCTTAAGTCTAATAACCAATGCATGTATACAAGAAAGATTTTCTAACTACTAATACCACTACTACTTTTCTAAATACTTTCTCAAAGCAATGACCAGATGTATAACCCATTCGAGGCTCCAACTTGCTCAGGAAAGTAGATTAATTTTCTCACCAGGTTTAAAATATAGTTAGTTAACAGATGGTGCTATTAATTGGAAATAACAACAAACAATGTGTTCAAAAAATCATTTTTTACAGCAACAAACAAGTGCAGTGTGAGGATAAAGATTACAACCGCATATTCAAATAATAATTCCGTAAACATCGTTTTCTAGTTTTTCCAGACAGAAGTGCCATCTGTTGGCAAACATTACTAATTTTGAAATTTGATACGAATAAATCTTTTGTTTCCTAAGCATACATTTTGCTCTTTTTTCCGTTATCAATAATGAATTTTTCAAAACATCGGTCATTTTTGGAGCACTAGATTAGTGAGTGATAACAAAATTAAAGGGTTTAAAAGAATATTTCTGCAGTTTAATGCTATTCATATAAGGAATTCATATACCTAAATAGTATTTTTTGAAAATTCTACGTAGAACAGTCTGAGCGTTTAATTTATCACTGACTATGAATTGCAAAATAATTTTCGAAAATATAAAAAAATAAAAATCTTTCTGGGAAAAGGTACTGAAAAATTTCCTTGAAGATGTGCATTGAAATATTATGAAAATTGACGAAATAACATTGCTAAACATGATTGTTGAAGCAGTAGTTTCTTATTTTAATTAATTATAAAGAGTATTATTCTTAATAAGCAACAATCTAAGTTTTAAGCTAAATTGAGCTTAGCAGCTAAACAATTGTTTTCTATATATATATATATATATACAATTTTTCCATGTGCAGATCCATTTCGGGCAATTCCGTGGCTAATATTATCAACTAAAAATTTTTTTTCTTTGTTAATTTTTATAATTTTTCTGTGTGCAAATCCATTTCTGACAATTCCGTGAGTAAAATTATTTACTAAAAATTTCTTTATTAATTTTTCCATGTGCAAATCCATTTCGGGCAAATCCGTGGCTAAAATTATTTGCAAAACAGGCAATTTATGTTTCTCTTTTCTATTTTATATTTTTTCTTAAATAAATATTTATTTTCTAAAATTATTTATGGTCAACTTTTTTAAATCATCCAGTATAATATTACCTTGTGCACATTCATTTAGGGCCCATCCTTGGTAACTAACAAATCAATGCACAGCATAACAAAACACTTCAGCAATGCAGTAAGAACGGCACTTTAAAACAAAACCCCTCTAGCTACACTCAATTTGCGCTTTTGTTTTCATATTTTGTAATCTGGCAATCTTGTTGCGAAAATATTTTTAAATCATTCTTGAAAAATTTTCCGTTCATGTAAGCACATCTGATTTCGCTACTTTCTTTATAGTTTTTTGTTTTATACTATTTTTTCTTTTTATTCTATTTGATTTTATTTTTGTTTTTCGTGTTATTTTTACTTATTTTGTTCTATTTTATTTGTTGTATTTTTTGCAAAAAAATTTTTTGAATGCTCCTCACACTATTGTATTAATATATTTTGCTTTGGCTATGTTGATACAATATCAGAAAGCACTCTTTTTTGCGGATATAAACGTGTGGGCTGATGAAAAGATTATATCTTTTTTTTTCAGATTTTTTAAATAAAATTTCATCCTTTTTCTTTTTTTTTAATCAGTTGTCTGTTATTTTTTTAATTATTATTTTACCCCCTTTCTCATATGTCTATAATTCTCCTTTGTTTTATTTTCATTTTGAACTCATCTAATGAGTTCTGCTTACTTGCAGCTTATGCAAGTAAGCAGATCTTATTGTTTTTCTTAACTTTCTTCGTGTTTTCTCGTATTTATTTATTTTGTTATATATATATATATATATATATATATATCACACCAAATCACAATTAAGCAATTGAGGCAAAGTTTTATTTTAAATCATATCAACGGTTTGAGCTTCAATATAATTTATTAAATTTCTTTTTCGATTTGAAATGCTGATTTTTTTTATTCAATGAAAAATCAGAAATGAAAAAAATTTCACTATCAAAGCCCTTATAAACAAACTTAATGAAGAAATAGACATCTGTTTAAGCATGTTTAGGGTTGAAAATTTACAGCATGCGGGGGGGGGGTGCTTATAATTCTTAGAAATCTGTACAAAAAAAGATAACTTACGGCAGAAAGGCTCTTCTAATGATGTTTCGAGGAACATAGTTACTGGCTCGGATGATGTGTAACGAAGCCATTCTTCTGCTTTAAAACCCATCGATGCACATTGAGACATATCAGAACCACAGCCTCTGTCACATTGGCCACTAGAAAAATTTGCATACGAATCACATTTGTAGCCATAAAATGGGCAATCCATGTTGACCGATTCTGTAAATAATTCAGGAGCATGGACAGCTTTGCATCGACGGAAACTTTTTATACCTTTGAGGAAAAAAAGTAAAAATATATACATAAAAATATATACTTTGTAGTAAAAATAAATACATATACGCATATATGACGCGTTATTTTTAAAGAGGATGTCTACTTTTGAAAAGGAATGAGTTAATAATTTTAGTACCATATAACTTTTCCATACCTGCCAACTCTTCCGGGTTTTCCGGAAGATTTTATTTTCATATTTAAAGTGGTAGCAATACTCAGGTTATTCCCATTAACTTTTTGAATTATAATGATAATTATAAATGAGTTTGACCACCACTACATATAAATAATTACAATAAATATATCAAAGCATAATAATCCTTGCGCAAGCGATTTTCAACGGGATCAAAAAATAAATATATTTTTGAGTCAGATTGTCTTTCGTTTATTGTTTTACAACCACTCTGAAAATCCATTCTCGGAAAGAGTGAAAGTTGGCAGGTATGTATTTCATATAAGCAGGGCCAGTGCTAAGCCAACACCTCCTATAACTGACTCCTCCTATAATAAGCCTCCACAGGGAATTTTAAAGGTAGTCCGATCAGACCACTGTGAAGGATATCCACTTTCCGAACGAGTCATTTAATACAAAATTTAGTTAAAATGAGAAAGTGGTAGCAAATATATGACTAAAAATTTGTTTTATTTATGAATATTATTAGTTTGAATTATTCACTTGTCAACCACTAAAGATTCAATTTTCAAACATATGTGATAAATTTCGCTCAATTGCTTTTGTAAAAGGTTTTGGGTTCATGCGCACAACTGGTTCACTTTTTAAACAGTCTTATAAAAGACCGTGTGGAGACTTTTGGATGTAGGAGGTAATGGCTAAACAATCGCCAACTTGCCAAATGCAATAAAATCTTAAATTTGGCGAATAAAATTGTGTTTTGCTTAAGGTATTGGCGAATAATGTTTTGCACTGGAAAGAAAAAGATATATTTAACTCGATCCTGAAAATCGAGTCAAAATGATTTTTTCTTAACAAATCAGTATTTTTTATTCGATTACATTAATTTCGGTAGATGTGCCACACAACCAATTAGAATTGGGTCAAAAATTATAAGCCTGAAACAAACTACCGTATAACAGTTTTCTACAAGGAAAAATTAATCATAAAAAATTTTCAAGATTTGCATTTGGCGAAGACTTTCGAAAGTTGGCGAATACTTTTGATATTTAGCTGATTTACTGGCTAATAATTTTAAGTTGTTCGCATGAGCCCTGTATATGCATAACCATCATTTAAAGGAGTATAATTTGTGATTAAAATAAGCAAATGAATTTTCGGTAAATTATCTCAAAAACACTTTTTTTTAAAACTGGAATAAGCCCATTTTAAATAACTAAAATTAAAACAACTTTCTATTTACTTTCTCAAATCACTGTATGTCTTTTATATTTTTATTTTGTTTTATAACTGGCATTGAGGCAGCGAAACCAATTCTGAGTTAACGACTATCAATGCTCAAATCTATAACCCAGTAATTTTGAATCAAGCCCAAAAGACAAAGGAACTTTTGCATCAAGCACTAGGAGAAACTAGCCTGCTTGAAGGACTTCGTGATGGAACTAACCCACATTTGCTTACATGGGGAGGAAAACCACGAAAAACTTCTCCAGGTTATTCGAGGGCAAAGACATTTTAATCCATGATAACTGAGGATATTTTGCGTCTGCTCAGTGGTCGGTACGAACCGAGAGCAAAATTGTATCAACCATTCACCGTTGAGATTGGAACCTTTGTCACTTCATTGGGAGGCAAGCACTCTATCCCCTGAGCCACCACGACTCGGTACTGAAATATTTTTATTTTAAAACCGGCGTTGAACAGCCGACCCAATTTAGAGTTAATGACTATCCATGCAGCCTTGTTGCTTTTAATCCAACCCTGAAGGCAAGAGAACTCCGGGATCAAGCAATGGAACAAACTACTCTTCGTGGAGATCTTTTTGATGGAACTAGCCCACGTTTGTGTTACATGGAGAGGAAAGCCACGAAAACATTCTATTGTTAGCCCGATGACAAAAAGATTTTAACCCATGATCCGTCTACTACTAAAAGAACATTTCACGTCAGTGACATCCGGGAGCAGAATTCGTGTCAACCTGCCATCGCTGGAATTCGAACCTGGGTCACCTCATTAGGAGGCAAACGCTCTTTCCCCTGGGAAATAATCGCTTTTAGGCAACTGTCTGCCTGTCAATCGCGACAATTCATATTTAGAAGTAATTTAGTTGCTGTTGTTTCTAATACCTCTTCCTAATATCCTGCAAGCCTACTTGATGAAACCAAGTTTCTAGATGTTTCTAGTTTTTCAGTGACGCCATCCATTGCCAAGAATTTGACTTAAGCCACACACACCTCACAACCCGTTTATTGGTTGGACCAATTCATACGTCCATTCATTCATCCACAAATCGTACTTTTGACCTTAACTAGAGAACTATCAATCTCAATTTCAGTATCCCTAGAAGTATAATTTGTTAGGCAATCATGGGAGACTTTGTAACCCGGCAGATTTAAAGTGCACCAGTCACCATTTACTTACACGGGGAGTATTCAGCCAGCTGTGATTGAACAGTAATTTATCTGATTTTGTTTAGCTTCCTATCGCTTGTTCTATTTAGCTTATGTTTTCAATACCATGCAATTGTGTGCGAATGTTTTATTCAAAAAAATATATATATTATGTTTTTAAAGCAAATAATGAAAAAATGACTATGTTGCTAATGTATAAAACGCTAAGACCAATCAATAACATTCGTATTAATCTACGCATATACTTCCTCTTTTTATTCAGTGCATTTTATGTCGAAACAAAATGCTGCGTTTTCGTAACAGTAGTCTTAAATAAGTTAAAAGCTAACTAAATCAACACAAAAACATCAACTTACACACTTTCGTAGTCAAAGTAAAAAGTTATTTTCGTCAGTAATTACCAAATACCACCTCACGCGGATGCTAACTTCTCAAATAATTGCACGATTTTATCAATCATGCTTATAACAAACAAAGGACGAGATTGAAGGAAGCCTATTCCTGTAGTTGCTCATCATTCCTCATATACTTACTTTTATGAAAATTAGGAACTGGTAGATTTCAAAATTTCTTTTCTTTATCAATAAACAACATACAAAAATGTCCAGTTACTCCACTTTGAGATAGAAATCTTTTCCAGTTGTATCGAATTTTGTGCTTGCATGCAGGTCTGCCAACTTTCTAAGCTTTTTATAAAAATCTATTCTTGTGTTAGTTATGTTTATGCTTTAATGTATTATTTTTTATTTATTTAACTTGTTTTCTATCTACTACACATAAATGATTTAAAAGCTCATATAGAACACCATTTTGTACCTGCACTTTCATGGTGAGTTTTTTAAAATGTTGGCAAAATTACCAAAAATTCTGAAAGCTTTGTTTTTCAATTATTTCCACTCAATAAAATATTTTGCAAAATGCGAAGTATTTGCCGACTTGTATATGTACGATTTCAAAATGAAGCCACTTTATTGCCACCACATAAAAATAATTCTAAAGCTCTTATACATATAACATCACTTTGTATACGTATCATATTTGCAAACTCTTTTGGTTTTCCTGGAAGATTTTATTATTTAATGTGATGGAAAAAATTACAGAATCGATATTTTATATATAGAATATATATTTTATTCTTCATTAAATAAATATGACTTAAAAGTGTTTTTATTACGATTACATTTTAATAATTTAAACATATATTTAACAGGCTTGTTAACTTTCTGATAGTGTATTTACTTGTTGGCTAAATTTTTACGATACACCAACATACAATCTCAATTTCATTGGCTTTACCCTACCACTAGGAAAACATTTCTTTGCAGAGCGAAAAAGTTGGCAGGTATTTACTCTTTACGATGAAAAAGTTCCCAATTGGTTGTGAAAGACTAACCTCTTATCTTGTGCGCTCGAGTTTCAAGCGGCTTTGTATTTTATGCTGCTATAAGTTTTCACACTCGAATATAATCGAGAATTGAAAGTAATGTGAAAGTTTAAAAAAAATAGTTTTATTAATATTATCATTTACATAGGNCGGTTTTCCTGGGAGATTTTATTATTTAATGTGACAATCTCAATTTCATTGGCTTTACCCTACCACTAGGAAAACATTTCTTTGCAGAGCGTAAAAGTTGGCAGGTATTTACTCTTAACGATGAAAAAGTTCCCAATTGGTTGTGAAAGACTAACCTCTTATCTTGTGCGCTCGAGTTTCAAGCGGCTTTGTATTTTATGCTGCTATAAGTTTTAACACTCGAATATAATCGAGAATTGAAAGCAATGTGAAAGTTAAAAAAAAATAGTTATATTAATATTATCATTTACATAGGATTGTAAGCTATAACACTTATTTATTCAAGAATAAAATCTATAGAGATGCCAACTTGCTCCGGACAGCTAATATGTATTTTAAAGTGGTAGTTTATCAATTGTGATTCTTTGTTTAATAAATTAAATTGAGTAAATTTTTATCCGCCACTATTTCTAAATAATTCGTAAGCGTATATAATTCACCACTTCATAGTACTTATGTCATGCTATACCTTTTAAAAAGCAAGCGAAAATAGTCAAATATTTGCTAAATATACTTTGTAGTTACTTACTGTATTTTTTTTTTCGTGTTCGGTGCAGTTGGCATTTCTGAATATAGCCTTTTTCCATGGAGCAAGAACTCAGTATATCAAAATTGTCCACCGAAAGAAAAGACAATGTTCTAAAGTGTGTTTTTTTACATTAAGAAAAAAAAAATTTTGGCCGTTTTTTTTCCAAAAAATCTGTGAATTAAGGGATAAACTTTTCACAATTGCTTTAACGCCTTAATGTAAAAGTAAATTTCGAGGTGTTTGCCTCTTCAATTAAGTTTTTTGCCGTATGCAAAATGGTTCAAATAATTCTTGAGAAATCATATTTTAAATCCACAGCTTTCTAAAATTGAATAACTCAGAAATATTTTTGCTTATTGTAGCTATATATTTTACTTTTATTGCTGCAAATGCCTAAAATATTTTTTTTAAATTATTTTTAGTAAATTAAAAGAAAGTTTTTTCAATAAATAAATCATGGAGAACAAAATAATTAAAATATTGTAATCCCGCCCATAAACAAATTGATAACATAATTGTTTGGCAACTGCATTTAACGTGCTTCTTTGTTGGAAATCCTCTTGTATTACGTGGTTTATCCCCTTGGGGACGGGTGATTCATAAAAGCATTCCTACAAAATCGGAATCAGATTGTAAATAAATAAAACACGTTACTTTAATGTAGGTGTTGCTAATTTGACAGACTTACTTTGCTTTTACTTTAATTAGTGTTAGTTTAATCATATATACATAGAATCGAG